AGTGTCCCCGGGGCCCTGGAGCCCCATGCTCAGCCAGGGTCTTTTTAAAAAAAGATTTATTTATTTATTTGAAAGGCAGAGTTACAGAGAGGCAGAGGGAGAGAGAGAGCTAGAGAGGGGTCTTCCATCCGCTGGCTCACAACGGCTGGAGCTGTGCTGATCCGAAGCCAGGAGCCAGGAGCTTCTTCCGGGTCTCCCATGCGGGTGCAGGGGTCCAAGGACTTGGGCCATCTTCCACTGCTTTCCCAGGTGCATCATCAGGGATCAGAATTGAAGCAGCTAGGGCTCGAACCGGTGCCCATATGGGATGCCAGCGCAGCAGCTGGCAGCTTTACCTGCTGTGCCACAGCGCCAGCCCCTGTTTAAGCAAACGTGTCTTTCCCTGGATGGGGCCGTTTGCCCACCTCTCCTAGGGAGGACCCCACCTGAGTGCATGTGGTTCACTGCAGACGCCCCATCCAGAGGGGGTGTGGCCGTGTCAGACGATGGGCTGTCCTAGCATCACTAAGCTCCCTTGTCGTGCTCGACCCCACAGGAGCCCGTGTGACAAGCCCTCTGACTCCCCAACCCTGATCCGAACAGGGCAGGCCCCCAGACTCCTGGGTTGTATGTGTGTCCCCCAGGGAGGGGCTGCGTGGAGAGCAAAGTCACAGCTGCAGGAACGGCTCTGCCTTGGACATTTGGCCCAGGACCTGGGTGACCTGGCACTGCCCGCTATGGGCCACTAGCCACCATGCAGGCAGGCCCCGGGGCATTAGCACATCCGTAACCCTCACGTGGAATGCTGGCAGCTGCATCAGTGTTTTTTAATCAACCTCACTTGCCCAAGGGAAAAGTATGGCCCAGGATTTAGCGGCAGGTGGGGTCACTGCTGCCGTGAGCATCAGCACGATACGCACCTGCCGCACACACCTGCTCTGGGCAGTCCAGGTGTCTCCCACCGGAACCCACCTTCTCCTTCACACGCATGACCCTGCTTCATTATCACCAGGAGGCACACGTGTAGCCAGCTCCAACTCCATTATCACCTCCTCCCTCTCGTTGCCAAGTGCTTTCTGCTGTGCCTGTGCTGGGCTCCTGCCCCTGGCCCCTGAAAGTGGTAACGGGGGCTGGCACGGTGTAGCAGGTAAGCCCCTGCCTGCAACACTGCCATCCCGCATGGGTGCTGCTTGGTGTCCCGGCTGCTCCACTTGCAATCCAGCTCCCTGCTAATGTACCAGGGAGGACAGCGACCCTGGGTTGTGGGTCCCTGGGAAAGCTGCTTTCCCTCCCCAGTCTTGGAGACCCAATTTCCCTTGCATAAGAGGAAGCAGTAATCCTGGTTCCTCCGTGGGACGCTTGTGAAAGCACGTTTGTCAGCACACAGAGTATGCCCTGATTTCCTGAGAAAAGGGAGGCGGTGGAAACATTTAAACACCTTCCCTCGCTCAGGCATTGAAAGTGACTAGTGGCGGGTGCCAGGTTCCAGCAGAGGATCTCAGCGGAAGGAAGGGCAGTCACGTGTTTACCGGCTCTGAAAACAATCATGAGACTGACAGGGCCAAACAGAACCCGAGGAGGATCCGTGAGATGGGAGGGGGTGGGTGGTGCCGGGGGCGGGCGGGGCGAGCACCGCTGCCAGAGCGCGTGGTGCAGGCTGATAACGAGAGACCGGCTCCAAACTAAACAAAAAGGACTGCGTTCCTCTGCCCACAGACAGAGCGCATATTTCCATGAACAGGAGCGCGGAGCAAGCAGGATGAGCCTAGGTAGCCGGGATTCGGGCAGGCAAGCAGATATTCCAGGAAATTAGGGGTCGGGGGAAGAGGGCGAGGGGAAGCTTGGACGGAGCTCAAGGCCACGGTGGAAACAGACCGGAGTCGCCTGCTCTGCGGATCCCAGCACGCTGGGAGGCAGCAGGCGGCGGCTCAAGCACTTGGGTCCCTGGTGGAGTTCTCACCTTTGGCCTCCCCCAACTCTTGCTGTTGTGAGCATTTGGGGAGTAAACCGGTGGAGGGGATTGCGTTCTCTCTCTCCCTCTCCATTTCAAATAATATTTTATTTACTATTTAAAAGATCATATTTATTTTTTAGGCTGGCGCCGCGGCTCACTAGGCTAATCCTCCGCCTAGCGGCGCCGGCACACCAGGTTCTAGTCCCGGTTGGGGCGCCGGATTCTGTCCCGGTTGCCCCTCTTCCAGGCCAGCCCTCTGCTGTGGCCAGGGAGTGCAGTGGAGGATGGCCCAGGTGCTTGGGCCCTGCACCCCATGGGAGACCAGGAGAAGCACCTGGCTCCTGGCTCCTGCCATCGGATCAGCGTGGTGCGCCAGCCGCAGCGCGCCGGCCGCGGCGGCCATTGGAGGGTGAACCAACGGCAAAGGAAGACCTTTCTCTCTCTCTCTCTCTCACTGTCCACTCTGCCTGTCAAAAAAAAAAATAAAAAAAAAATAAAAAAGATCATATTTATTTTTTATTTGAAAGGCAGAGCTACAGAGAGTGAGAAGGGGAAGAGACAGAGACAGAGGTCTTCCATCTGCTGGTTCACTCCCCAAATGGCCGCAGCAGCCGGGGCTGGGCCAGGCTGAAGCCGGGCGCCTGGAACGCCTCCCGGGTCTCCCACGTGGGTGCAGGGGCCCGAGCACTTGGCCATGACTTGCTGCCTCCCAGGCTGCACATTAGCAGGAAGCTGGGTTGGAAGCCGACTCAAACCAGTGTTTCGATGGGACAGTGACATCACAAATGACAGCCTGACATTCTTGGCCACAATGCTGGTCCCTCAACAATAATTTAAACATAAAAATAAAGTGAAAAATAAAACAGAAAAAAAAAGATATTTACAAGGGGGCCAGCAGCTGGTGCAGCTGAGGCCACTGATGGGGGAGGCCAGCAGGGGGCAGAGCCTGTGACACTCAGTGGTCAGGGAACTCCACGCCCGTCAGCAGTCACTCCCATTCCTCCTGCCGCCCCCCTCCCCCCACTCCACTGATTTGCCTCTAGGAGATCCTTATCTACAGATTTCCTTATCCGGAACACTTCATGGAAAACACATGGCTCCTTTCAGCTAGCATAGTATTTATTTACACACCAGCATGCCATTGTTTTTGTTTTTATTTGAAAGGCAGAGTTAGAGAGAAGGAGAGACAGAGACAGATCTTCCATCTGCCGGGTCACTCCCCAGATGGCCGTGGCTGGGCTGGACCAAAGCCAGAAGCTTCTTCTGGGGCTCCCACATGGTGGCAGGGGCTCGGGCACTTTTGGGTCCACCCTCCACCTCTTTCCCAGGTGCATCAGCAAGGAACTGGATTGGAAGTAGAGCAGCTGGGACTTCGAACTGACGCCTGTATGGGATGCGTAGACCCTACCCCCCTGTGTCAGATGAGATGGGGAAGTCCAGGCCCTCATCTGAGGTTTGTCGTGAATGTCGGGCACAGGTTGAGCCGAGCTAACTTTGCACACCGTCAGTCCTTTTGCCAAAAGCCTGTGTGCTGTGGACGCTTGCCAGCTGTCTCCATGAACAGTTCGGCGAGAGGCAGCACCTTTGATAGAAGTACATTAGAGGGGGGAGGGTTCCCGAGGCAGGGGCTGATGAAATCAACAGAATGATCCAGAAAACAGACGGAGGGCAGCATCGGTTGGTGTCCTGGCTGCTCCACTTCCTGCTAAAGTCAGCTGTTTCCACTTTCCTGAGTGTGTCACCGACACCGGCTGGTGTGTGCACCTGCCAGCCCTGTGCAGTTTCTCCTAGCACGTGGCAGCTGGCTGGCAGCTGAGGGTCTAGTCCCTTGGTCTCCAGGGTACTGGGCAAAGGCTGGGTGTGACCCAGGGTGACGTTGGGCCTGGAGGACGAGTCTGGAATCCACAGTCACCAGCCTAGGGCTGGGGGCCAAACTTCCCACATGGCTTCCTTCTTTCAATCCATAAAGTCACACCCAGGTGACAGTGTGGCTGCGGCACAGCAGCAGAGTCACCAGGGGCAGTGCAAGGAGAGAAGCAGCTGACCCCCAAGGAGGAGGAGGAGGAGGAGGAGGAGGAGGAGGAGGAATGAGGGTGCAGGGGGTGCAAGAGGAGGGACAGGTGCCCGAGAGGAGTGATGCAAACGGATTGGAGCTTGGAGCAGGGGCGGGCAGAATGGCCAGCTCTGAACAGAGGTGGGCGCAGGCAGAGGCCACCAGGCAGAGAGACAATCATGGTAAAAGGAGACCGGGGTGGGAAAACTGGTGGTCAGGGCCAGCTGTGGGGGCTGGCCCCCTCCGGGTAAGCAGAGCTGCCTGGGGGACCCCTGAGCTCCTGCCTCTGAGCCTAACTCACCTGCCACGTTTGTCCGTCCCCTCTAGCAGGAGGAAGAGGGACAGAAAGGGTCTCTCCACCTGAAACAGGGGATGGTGCTCTCCACAGGCGCTTGGCAATGCCTGGAGGTGACTTTGGTTGTCCCCCCCCCCCCGTGTGCGTGGGTTGCTGGCGTCTGGTGGGGCGGGACCAGGGACACTGACAGATAACTTGTATATGCAGACAGGCTGGTCTCCAGATGTCAGCGGAGCTGAACAAGTCCATGGAATGGACTCTTCCACCCCGAGCTCTTTCCGCGAAGACGCACAGAGCACAGGGTGCCAGGGTGCAGCAACAGGGACTCAGGGCGAGCGATGGGGAAAGCTGCCCTGGGGCTGGCAGGTGCCTCTGAGACCAGGCAAGGTGGCCCAACCACCAGGGAGCCACCCAGGTATGCGGTGGCGCCGGCCTGCGAGCTCTAGACCTACTTGGTCAGCTTGGAGACCCTGGAAAACCCGGGAGGAAGTTGCACACCGGGTCTCGGGCCCAGTTCCAAGGAGGAGCGGGCTGTCGGTGGTGAGGACGACGTGGTCTCCAGCCAGGTTGTACTGCGGCGAGCAGCCCGTGGAGCGCGTGGGCGGAGAGGGGGCGGGGCCTCCAACGGAGGGGCGGGGCCTCTAGCGAAGGGGGCGGGGCCGCGGCGGCGGCGGCAGGGTGGGGCGGGGCCGCAGCGCGTTCTTAAGCGGCCCCGGCGCGCAGGGAGGGCCCCGTCATGGCTCTGAGGCGTGTCTGCTCCGCGCTGCGTCCCGGCGTCCCGCGCCTCGCCCCGCTGTCCACGGCGCCCGCGGCCCGCGAGCAGCCCGCCGCGGGGCCGGGGCCCGTGCCGGAGTGCGGGGCGGCCGAGGCCGTGCGGCCGCCGGTGCCCGCCGTGGATTTCGGCAACGCGCAGGAGGCGTACCGGAGCCGGCGTAGCTGGGAGCTGGCGCGCAGCCTGCTGGTGCTGCGCCTGTGCGCCTCGCCCGCGCTGCTGGCGCGCCACGAGCAGGTGCGCAGGCCGGGGCGGGCGGGCGGGCAGGTGCCCGCGGGGATCCGAGGTGCCAAAACCGCGCGCGGCGGGTGGGGAGCGGTGAGGGGGCGCCTCTGAGCCCCCAGGGAGTCGCAAAAGGGAGGCGTTTCCTGCATTCTCTTTCCGGACCTGGTGAAATTTCCTACTTGTCAGTACTCCCAGCCGAAACCAAAGCCCAGTGTGGTTTTTCATACGCATCCCACTTTGCAGGAAGACCGATGGAGAACTGGGTAGCTGCACTCCGGTCCAAGGGGAGGTGTTGCAGGTGACTTGTCATAGGTTCTGACTAGCCACGCCCCACACAGGCCGCCCTGAGCAGGGTTGGGACAAAAATGGGGGAAGTGATTCAGGCACCTAACTTGAAACTTTAAACTGGTACCCTGGCAAGTGTGAGGGCCTCGTTTTTTGGGGGCGGGCGGGGTGGGGACAGAACAGTGGCCTGGCGGATCCTGAGTGATCCTGACAGTGTGCGAGGGGCCAGTCGGTGGCGCGGCGGAGCGGGAGGTGTCCATGCAAGTGGTGTGCGTTTCTCCAATGAGACCACGTGGAGGGCCCCATGCTGCACTCCCCTCCCCCTACCCCTGGGAGAACAGAAGCCCTGAGTTAGGTGAGGCCGAGGCAGGTGGGAATGAGGGCAGATGCCCAACAAGGCAGAGTCAGGTGTTGGCCTGGGGGAGCCCAGGATGGTGGCAGCTGCGGCTGTGGGGGTGGGGGCGGGGAGGGCGAGGGAGGCCTCTGGAGGTCTTGTGTATCTGTGGCCATGCATGCTCACTCCGTGCAGGAGTGAGCCCCTGCACCCCCGTTCTAACTAGGGTACCGTTGGGTGGCTGGGGGAGAGGGTGTGTTGGCTCTGCTGTCCCTCGGGCACCAGCTCCGGGCAAGCACTGGGGTGCAGGGACAGTGCTGTGGGGACCCAGAGACAACCCTCCCCGGCTCCCCCTTGTGCCCCAGGGGAGAGAAGACTTCTCTGCAGGGTCTGAGCCACTGTCCTGCTCAGAGTTGGTGGGCTCAGAGCGGGGTGCTGGGGGAGGTGAGGAAGAGGCTGGGCTGGCCCTCGGCTGCCTTTGCTCACTGGGGATGACCTGATTTGGTGGATTTTGTTGTCTCTCTGTCCTCTGGCCCAGGGGACAGAAGGCCTCGCGTGGCCTGGGAGCTCCCGGTGGGCACGGGCCTCAGACCCGCTCGGAGGCCTGTCAGGAGCTGAGACTTGGGCCACTGCCTTGGCCAGGACCCCAGCCGGGGCTCCCGCGTGCCAGTGGGAGAAAGGTTTCCAAAAGTCCCGGTGTCCATGGCAGTGGTTCTGAGCCTGCCTGTGAGCCAGGGCAGGGGTTCTGTGGGGGGGGAGGGAGGGGAGAGCGGCAATCGTTTGTGGCTTTTACGGTCAGACCCTGGAGCAGGGCTCTGCATCCCCAGTGGAGCGTGCTGCTTCTTGGAGAAGAGGGGCGCTGTCCTCGTCTCCCGCCATTCCACTCCAGGATGGTTCTGTGGGTTCTAAAAAAACTGTATTTTATTTGTTTCTATCTGCTGGTTCACTCCCCAAGTGGCCTCAATGACCAGAGCTGGGTTGATCTGAAGCCAGGAGCTTCTTCCGAGTCTCCCACGTGCCTGCAGGAGCCCAAGCACTTGGGCCATCTTCCATTGCTTTCCCAGGCCACAGCAGAGAGCTGGATAAGAAGATGAGCATCTGGGAATCGAACTGGCATCCATATGGGATGCCGGCACTGTAGGTGGAGGCTCTACCCACTATGCCACAGCACCAGCCCCTGGTTTTGTGTTATTTTACCTTTGGGAGAGACAGAGGTGCAATCCGCTGGTTCACTCTGCAAGCACCCACCATGGCTAGGCTGGGCCAGGCATTTAGATTCGGAGCTGGGCTGGGCAGGGACCCAGTACTTGAGCTATCCACCTGCTACCTCCCAGGATGCACGCACATGGGCAGGAAGCTGGAAATCAGGAGCGGAGCTGAGACTCGAACCCAGGCACTCCGATAAGGGATGCAGACGCTGTAACCACTAGGCCACACAACTCTGCCCACCAGGATGGTTTTGAAGTAGCTGCTTGGCCTTGGTGTTTAAAATTGCCAGCCCTGCCTGTGTGCCTCTGAGGCCACCTCCCCTTGGAGAGCAGGGGTGCCGAGAGCATCCCACCCGCCCTGCCTCACCCCTGCTCCTTCATTTGGTGTTAGCTGTGCACGGGCTGAGTGTGAGCTAATTGTGGATTGCAAGAGGTTGGTGGCACAGGTGGCCCCTGCAGGCATGGTTTTTCCTGTGGTTCTCTGAGATCTGGCATCGTCTGGGTTTCCTTTCCCGAGGCCAGAGAGAGTTTTTTTCTGGCTCCCAGTTCTGCCCTGCCCAGCCCTGAATTTTTTTTTTTTAAATAAACATTTTATTCATGTATTTGAGAGGCAGAGATACAGAGAGAGAAGGAGAGACAGAGAGAGCTCTTCCATCTGCCGGTTCACTCGCCAAATGGCTGCAACAGCTGGAGCTGGGCTGATCCGAAGCCAGGAGTTTCTTCTAGGTCTCCCATGCGGGTACATGGAACCCACACTTGGGTCATCTTCTACCTTCTCAGGAGTTCAACAGGAAGCTGGATCAGAAGTGGAGCAGCTGGGACTCGAATCGGGAGGCTGGCTTCACAGGTGGAGGCTTAACCTACTACACCACAACACTGGACCTTTTTTATATATCTATATATATATATATTGATTTATTGAAAGAGTGACAGGGATGGAGACAAAAAGAGATAGAGATATTCTATCTGCTGTTTTAGCCCCCACATGGCCACAACAGCCAGGGCTGGGCCAGGCTAGAGCCAGGAGCCTGGGCCTCCATCCTGGTCTCCACGTGGGTGGCAGGGGCCCAAGTACTGGGGCCATTTTCCACTTCCTTCCCCAGGCTCATTAGCAGGGGGCTGGGTCAGAAGCAGGAAGCATAGCAGCTAGAACTTGAACAGCCACTCGGATACGGGGCTCTGGGATGCCGGTGGGTGTCGCAAGCGGTGGCTTAACCTGTTGCACTGCCATGCTGGCTCATCCCGCCCCCCCCCCCCCCGGCCTGGGGCAATCTTGAGATGTTCAAACCCCTCTTCCCTCCAGCTACCCCCATGCACACCACTCTGGGTGGGGGGAATCAGGATTGCCGTGTCTCCTCCCCTTCCCCCCACACCCCTAACACCCTTCCAGCCATCCGGGTCCCTGGCTAGGGCTTGGGAAGAAGTGGGCGGAGCCCTGCCTTGTCTCAGGTGTCAGCACGTCCATCTTTTTGTTCAAATCCTCTTTATAGAAGAACAAAAAGAGAGAGGAGATATACAGAGGCCGAGGGATGCCAGGACCTGCTCCTCAGGGATGACCCTGCTCCTCAGGGGATGTCCCGTGGGCATGCAGAGGTGGTCTGGAAGGGCTCCTGGGTGGTTCCAGCAAGGGCCGGGGGGCTGTGTGTGTCTGTGGTTTTGTGTGGGGTTGCACTTGCTAATGGTTTTGCTTAGGGATCATGTCCCAGCTCCTGGTGCTGAGCAGTGTCTCCTGCTAAGGGAAGGTCCATCATGTTTCAGGTTCGAAAAACTCCAAGCTTAACCTTTTTTTTTTTTTTAAGATTTTATTTATTAATTTGAGAGGCATAGGTTCAGACAGAGAGGGAGATGCAGAGAGAAAGATCTTCCATCTGCTGGTTCTTCCCAAATGGCCACAGCTGAGCCAATCCAAAGCCAGGAGCGTCTTCCCAGTCTCCCACATGGGAGACATTGCAGGGGCCCAAGGACTTGGGCCATCTTCTGCTGCTCTCCAGTCGCATTAGCAGGGAGCTGAATCCGCCGTGGAATAGCCGGACTTGAACCGGTGCCCATATGAGATGCTGGTGCTGCAGGCAGAGTTTTAGCCTACTACACCGCAGTGCTGAGGCAGGTGGGGTGGGGCTCAGATGTGCACCGCAGTTCTCTGTGCCCACTCCTTGGCTTGGTGAGCCCTCCTCCCTGGCTCTGGTTAGCAGAGCCCACTCCCCGCTCCTTTCCTTTGGGTCTCGCCTCCTAAGCTGTGAGTGCCTGATCTGTTTCCTCCTGGGGTCCCAGCTCTAGACTTAATGCTCAGTTCATTTGCACAAATGCAGGTGAAATCTGGGCTGTGGGTGCGATGTGACAGCCATAGCAGGCCCCCTGCTGGTCCCAGAGTGCGCACTCCCCTCGCAGGCCCTTGCAGGCTCTGATTTGTTGCTGTGGGCTTCTCCCTCCCCTTGCTCCAGCGGAGCCTGATTCTGTCTCGGTAATACCTGCCTGTGTTACAGATCTCAAAGGGTTGATGCTGTGCCAGGCGTGGCTACAGGGACTTGGTTACAAGCAGACAGTGGAGAACCTGGCCGCTTGCTTTTAGAACGCTGCGTCAGCTCCTCACTCTCCCCGGCGAAATCGCTGCGTGTGATTGTGGACCTGCTGTGAAATGCCCCTGCACAGGGCCAGTGCTGGGGGCAGCGGGTGAAGCTGCTGCCCGCGATGCCCGCATCCCACACGGGCGCTGGTTTGAGTCTTGGCTGCTCCACTTCCGATCCAGCTCCCTGCTAATGCTCCTGGGAAGGCAGGGGAGGAGACTCCACGGCAAAGCCGTGGGATGGGGTTGAAGGGTCAGGGGCGGGCGTGAAACCGGCGACTTTCCTCTTGCCTTGCAGCTGCTCCACGTGGCCAGGAAACTGTTGGGACAGAGGATTTTGACAACTCATGAAGATGACCTTCTACGGGCAGTTTGTGGCCGGCGAGGACCAGGAGTCCATCCGACCCCTGATCCAGCACAACAAGGCCTTTGGCGTTGGCTCCATCCTGGACTACGGCGTGGAGGAAGACTTGAGCCACGAGGAGGCGGAGCGCCAGGAGATGGAGTGAGGCCAAGTGGATGGGGTGGGTGGGGGCGGGGCCTGGCCTGGCCTGCCGCCAGCCCTCCTGGGTTGGTTCTACCTGGAGTTCTTTTCGTCTTGGCCACGTGCAGGTGACACAGAGCCTGGTGTGACCCCGAGGGTGCCGGGGTCAGGGACAGTGACCCTCCGTCCATCCAGCCCCGCCACCTGGGTCTCACGTGGCTTGTGGTCTAGGAATGGGTTTTGCATTGCAAGTGTTTGAGAAAGGAAAAAAAAATCAGTGCATAATTCTCCTTTGTGACATGAATCCCGATGGGAAATCCAAGGTGCTTTTATGTGGTTCCCCCAGCCAGGGCTGCCGAGCCGGCTGCTCCTGGCCGCATGCACACACGTAGCCAGCCCTGCCCTGCCCTTGCTTTTCATTCAAGATCTGACCAGCCAGGCGGGTTCTGCCACCGCCCCTGGCCGGCCCTTAGCCCCGGTTGATGGTTTCTTAATTCTGCACGTGGGTCTGCCTGGCCTGCGGGTGCACCTGCCAGGCCCAGCGCCTGCCCAGGCTCCGTGGAGAAGGGACTGGCAGCCAGGTCACTGGGCAGGGCAGCTCAGAGATTACTGCCTGGCTGTGGGGCGCATTCCCTGGGCAGCGGGCGTAGGGACAGGGGGCAGGGGGCAGGACAGCATTGCCCTCTGCTACCCATCAGAGCAGCGAGTGACACCTGGGAAGTCCTGGCAAGGCCAAGTCTGTCCTTGGATTGGAGTTGGGCCCCCCGTGACAGCAGCTGGGCCTGAGCCAGGCCACTCGGGGCCCCAGTGTTTGCCCAGCCCCTCCCCAGGAGAAGGCAGTCACATGAGGCCTCCCGCCTGGGAACGGAATGTCCCCTCTTGTCTCAGCTTGCCCGGCCAGCCTGTTGCTGATTGGTCAGGGCAGCCCAGCCCCTGCCTTGCGATTGGCTTATTTGAAGGTGGGGTGTCCTGCCCCCCTACCCCTCCCTCTCTGTCCCCTCTACCACCTCCCAGGGAGCCTCCCACTAGGGGACTTGGCCATAACCTTTGCTGGAAGCTACTTGCTGAATACCAGCCAGCTCTGGGGCCTCAGCACCAGGCCGGGTGCAGACTGCTGTTTCATAATGGGTTCCTTCTCCCTCCGGTCTGTCTTTCCCAGGGCCATTGCCCGGTGTGTCCCCACCCCTGCCCCGGCTTGTCACCCATGCCCTCAGGAGCTCACCTCCCTCACCCTCGGAGGTTTTGGGATGTGAGCGGCCGCTCCTTCCTGTTGGGCAAGTTTCCCACCATCTCCCACCTGGGCAAGAGTCGTGGGCTCAGGCCCACCGAGGCGGGTGGGGACAGGGCTGGGAAGCGCCCCCTCCCACATTGGAGCCATCCAGGGGCCTCAGCTCCCCAGGCACGCCTGGCCAGGAGTATCGGGCCTGCAGGGTCTTGGGTGGGCTTGCTTCGGTGTCTCTGTGGGAGTGGGTCTTCCTAACCTCCCCACCCCCATTCCTGCTCCCAGCACAGGGCCCATGACTGCTCCAGAGAGACATGAGGGAGGCCACTGCCCCAAATGAAAGCCTGGGGTTGGTCTCGGGCCTACTCTCCCTAACCATGAGCGCACAGACAGGATGGAGGTGTAGAGGCAGAGTGGCCCCCTGTAAGATACCCAGGCCAGGGAGAGGAACCCCTTCTGGGGCTGGGGATCCCCCCGGAGCAAGGGACTGAGTATCATCCTGGTGACAGTCCCGTGAGGGCCCCTGGGGGCAGGGCATCTGGCAGGTGTCTGTCCAGCTGGGCGGCCTAGGCTGCCTGGGGCCTTGGCCTTGGCTTTCAGCATGCCCGGGCCAGTGTTCCTCAGGGAGGGCACAGGAGGCAGAGCTGGGGTGCCCGGGGCAGGTGTGCAGGGAGAATGGGGGAACAGGCTTGGCTGAGTGTGGCCTGCCCCTTCCCCTGCCGCCTGCTGCCTGCCTCTCAGAGCGGCCAGCGGCCAGTGAGGGGTCTCCCCCACTATTCACTGCCTGCAGCTGGCAAGAGGGGCCAAGGGGACCCTTAGAGTATTTCCACTGCCTTTGCAGATGCGGAATCCCCTCCTCCCCCAACCCCTGGGACTTGGGGTCATTGCTATTTATTCTTCCCTTGCCTGGGTGTGAGCGGAGGCCTGGGGGGCTCACAGTGGCCAATGCCAGCAGGGTTGCACACAGACCACGTCCGGTGACTGGGTGTGGGGAAGGACCGGGGTGGGAGTGGGGGACCGGAAGTGGGTCCCACAGAGGCTGTGTGGACATAGAACCGTGGTGCATGGACATAGCACCTTCTACTTCTCTGCTGCTGCATCTCCTTGTCCCCACCACTGGGCGGCCTGAGCGACAGCTGCCTGCCCACTCACTGAGCTCCTGTCCCTGGTAGCCGGGTAGGGTGTGGTGCCACCTGGAGGAGTCCCTGACCCCTAGTGGGCCTGGGCCTGGTGGCTGTGACTCCTGGGCTATGATCTAGGCAGTTGTGGGCTCAAAGTCCCCCAGATGAGGGCCCTGGGACTGGCCAGGAGCAGGACAGGAAGTGGTGGGTGTCCTGGCAGCTGATTTCCTGGCCCCAGGCTGGCTTCAATGGACAGGGGGCAGGGGACAGTGCCATCTGCGGCCCTCCCCTGCCTTCCCCCTTGGCCCGGGGCCCGAGGAGCGGAAGAGCCCCCCTTCTTTCCTATGGGTCCTGGGGGAGACCCAGCTGCTGCCGGCTTATTCCTGACACGCATCCTGTATCCGAGAGCCTGGGTTTGATCCCTGCCTGTGGCTTCTGACTCAGCTTCCTGTTCCCGTGCACCGGGGGGCAGCAAGTGATGGCTCAAGTCGCCGGGCCACTGTGACCCACGGGGGAGACCTGGGTGCAGTTCTAAGCTGCTGGCTTTGGCCTCACTCAGGGAGTGTGTGCACACACACACCCACATACCACCCCCGCCCCGCCCCACTGCTCATACTGTGGGCATTTGGGTCGAGTGACCCAGCGGATGGGGAATCTGTCTGTCCATCTGTCGGGTCAGAACTGAAAATGAGATCCTAGGAAGGCTTCAAGTTGCAAAGTCACATGGGAGACAAGGCTACCACCACTTGGGCCAGCAGGTTAAGGGGAGCGATGGAATCTATCACAGTACTGAGGCTGGGGCTGGCTGCTGTCGTGAGGATGGGGAGGAGGAGGGGAGAGGGTGTTTGCTGTGGTCCTGCAGGGGTGCTGGTCCTTGCAGGAGGTCTGGCAGGGGTGGGTGCTGCAGCCATGGGGCAGGGCATGCCAGCGGGCAGCTGGAGGTGGGGTTGCAGCCAGAGCAAGGGGCCACCCCACTGGATTAGGGAACCATGCTGCTGGGCAGTTTGCCCCTCTGTCCTGTGCTTTTCTGGGGGAGAGGCACGGACTTCGCTTTCTTCTAGAAGGTTCTGTGTGCCCTAGGCTCTTCTGAGAATTCTTCCTTTTTTTTTTTTTCTTTTAAGATTTCTTTATTTGAAAGGTAGAGAGGTAGTGAGGTAGAGAAGTCTTCCATCTTCTGGTTACTCCCAAATGCTGCAGTGGCTGGATTTGTACTGATCCGAAGCCAGGAGCCAGGAGCTTCTTCCAAGTCTCCTATGTGGATGCAGGGGCCCAAGGACTTGGGCCATCTTCTACTGCTTTCCCAGGCCACAGCAGAGAGCTGGATCAGAAGTGGAGCAGCCAGGACTGGAACTGGCAACCCATATGGGATGCCGGCACTGCAGGTGTTGGCTTTACCGGCTACGTCACACGCCAGCCCGCAAGAATTATTGTACTCCTTGCTTGCAATGAGGGGCTCCACCCAAATACCCCTTTCCCTGCTCAGCTGGTTCCCCCCCCTCTTC